TGAAACAGGGACAAGCACATATCAGATGATGTGGACGCGATACAAAAAAAAAAAAAAAAAAAAAAAAAAAAAAAAAAAAAAAAAAAAAAAAAAAAAAAAGGGTGGAGCGGAATCCACTTACCACTCAGTAATGGCGGAGAATGAAGGGAACTGCAAGACGAAGGATAGAGCGAAGGTGACGAGGAAGAGTCTGAGACGGAGGATCGTGGAGAAAGTGCCATTGAGGAATTTATATTTTTTTTTCTTCGCTCTTCGTGTTTGATTCTTAAATTTTGTTTTCTTTTTTTCGGTTTCTTCCCCAACCCACAGTGGGACGATTCAACAGGACCTCAGATCGGTCAATACAGCAGTCGTAGTGGTCGTTAAGCACTCCGGATCGACGTCTATCCGACCCCTCAACTGGTAACAAATCATGCGAGAGCTTCCGTTGTTAATCTTTGGGGGTTTGCTTTTCTTTTCCCTTTCGGTACACAGTTTTTCGTCTATCAATACTCTTGCTTCTCTGAGGATAATAGTCGAATTTCCCCTGAAAATTGAAGGCCCTAACCAGGGAACAAGCAACTCTATTCGACCGTTAGCTTGCGGGGAAAACCAACCAAAGAGCCAACATGGCGTCATGGGGAGGGGCAGAAAAGTGACGGTAAGGAGACTAAGTGACGGTACGGGTGCGGATTTAATGGTTAGTTCCACTTTGCGTCTCCACCCCCGGTCATCTGCGAGGGATTTAAATCTGGCAAGCGCGGTACGTTATGATTGGAGTGAGAGAGGCAAAAAAACAAAAAGGCAAAGGGAGGCAAAAAGCCCAGATAGGCAATACTCACATTTGAGACCACTGATCTTATCCCGTACTACTAGTTTCAAAAGGCGTGAAGTGTGTCAAACGGTGGAGCTGAGGTGATCTTGGACTCAATGAGGTCCCCTGCCAATTAAGTATAAATTTCCGTTTTGGTGACTGACGGGGTTCCCGCGGAAGCGACGGACACTAGTAGAGATATGGCTAGTAGGGAACATGGATCATTGACACATCTCCACGGCTGCAGGACACGATGATGGAAAAACACATAGCAAATGAAGATGAACACGAGTGCATTGACTGGAGTAGTGGCGGAATTGGTCGCAGAAATAATAAATTGAATATGGTGTCTACTACGCGGGTGCGCATCAGAAAACCCAATAAACTTTCAGTGGGTATGCACGATGCCAGCACAGGAAGTTCTCGGCGAGAAAGCGGCGTTCAAGCACATTGCACGGGTGTCGATTGTTAAACAGCAGGACTCGTAGTGACACTTTATACAGAGTAGGAAGCAAGACGGGGGGTTGCGTACGTCCTTTTAAACGGAGCTGTACATCACTGATACCATGTTCAACCGACAAACGAGAAACCTGTTGTAACCACACGCGGTAAAATCGGCTGACCTAGACCCTTCGGTTTCCCATCACTACTACCACGACTGCCCCGACTACCATTACTACTCCCCGGCAGGCAAAACAAGGCACCAGTCAGAACGGAGAGTGTCCAGTGTGGAATAATACTACAAATGATACTGGGCGTGCATCCAAAAGGGAGAAGTTGAAACCCATTTTCCCACTCGATCAGTCAACGGTCGATCGTCAAGGAGGGTCAAAGTGGGCGATGACTGGGACGACGTTCGAGTGTGATAGATTTAGTGCCAGCACTAGCGGCCGACTAGTCTGCAAGTCATCCCACCGCCAGCTGATAGGTATCTGAAAAGACGATCCCCTTGATTTGTGACCCCAGATCCGAACAATTCGGTACGCACAGTCGATCTTCAGCGGTCGGTGCAACTTGACTAGATTATGAAGAATCTCGACTAGTGGGTTGTTGACTCGACAGACTTTCACACACCCGCTAACGCCATCCGAATGCCACTTCCACCCTCGATGGGCTCATCATCGATCATTCAAGATACAATGCTGGATAGTATCGGATCGTCTCTAGGCAGAGATAAGTAGTGTGTGATAAACCCTAAGTCACCCACACTGAAACGGAGGGATCAGACGACTCCCCCACCACCATCACACTGACCACCGACTCCACACTGGGTCACTCCCAAAGACCACATATCCCATGTATTGTTTTCGGCTGCGCTCGTTTGCCGTGATTTTATTGTGTTCTTGATTTGAAGACTACTAGTCCACCCTGACATCCAATAATGGCCACAGGATCTCAAATCCAATTCCATCGAGGGGTCGACCTTTGTTGCATACGACTGATTTACTCACGGCGAAATGTCTTCATTTGGAAAATAAACAACAACAACAACAACAACAAAAAAAAAAAAAATTGCTGCGGATAGTGAGTACGCACACCCAGTGGCTTAGTCTTACAGCCTTCTTTCTTGCATTGTATAATCCTTTTTGGACAAATTTCTTTTCCCTTGCTTCCCCTATAATCGGATCCTTTGGATCAGGTTTTTAGAATTCTCAGTGAACTAAAATGCTCTTGTCTCCTAGGCTCAACCCGCCGAGACGGTTAAGGCACAACTAGAGATGCAGGCGCAGTTCAAGCCCAGCAGTATGACTCAAGAAAAAGAGACTAACAGATACTGTAGGGGAGGGTGTCGTCAGACGCAACGCCGACCTCCAGTCGATCATTCGAGCCCATGAATGACGATCGGTCATGCGTCACCAATGTGATTAGATAGACCCCTGCATAGCTGAGTCGCTCCTAATAGTAGGTGGGTGTGTACAGAATACCTTTCTTGTACGTTATTGCTCCCCATCCACCTACCACACCTACCACACCTTCCCCTCCCTTTCACTGAGTATGCTAAAGATAGCACCATGGGCGTATTTGAGACATTTACGCGGGCCAGAGAGGACAGTCATAGCAGTAGCTCTATTGGCGCATACGGAGGAACACAGCAGTTGCCTAGCGCTTGGCTTCTGACTCTCGTGTGTCCCATCATGGAATACAAACCCAGCCACTGATAGTGCGTTGAAATCTACGGGAGTGCTTCTCATGACCACAGGCACCAGCATTAGTGTGACTCGGAAATAACGATGTTGTCCTTAGCTCACTGGAAACAGGGTTTAATCCCTCGCACATACATTGCATGAATTGGCCTGAGCTCTAAGATCTCGTTGCATTAGGTTGCGCCGCACTGGAGGGATGGCTGCAGATGCAGGCGCAGGCCTCCGAAGCTGCCAGGGCAAGTCTGTGCTCTATTTACTCGATCTATGCTCGATGACGAAAGAAGGCATTCATGGTGTCATAGGGATGCGGATCTATTGCCCCAATAAGTTTGTATGTAGCACCTGCGCTAGTGAGGATACACATCACTGTGCGCGTCTCTTCATACCAGCTGGTCATGAGCTTATTGATCCTGATGCGACAATGGCGAAGAGGCTTTGGATTAAGCCCCTGGGTACGCATCTTCCGTTCTACCTACGCCAGCCAAAATTCCACGAAGAAGTGCGGGGTTTCTCTTGCATCTTGCTTGCTGCTATCGGGGCGGATGAACATGAAACATAGAACCGTATCACCTGACAGGCCTGGTCTGTTTTCAGGTTATCCCTCGTTTTTGGTTACACTGTTTGAAACATGTCCGTACTTGAATTGATGAATCTTCCCGTCTCGCTTCGTTCACGCAAGTGCAGAAAGACATGTCTCAGCCTCGAGTAAAGGTTGGCACAGACCGTATACCTGACGAGTAACCTCGTATACGGCCTGAGACAGTCTTGTTTCACGCTTGACTTACTAAAAAGGGCTGCTAACGAGCCATGAGCTCCTATTAGTGGTGAGCACTCGCCCCGTAATCTCCTTCTACTCGAATGAGAATTGATGCCTGCCCGCAGCACCTTGAGCCACGGCATCTCCTATTCAAACATTATTGGCGAACCAAATAACATCAAGGTCCGCAGTTTGACAAGAAGAACTACGATACATGTAATTCAAGCCGTGAAGAAAGAGTACCATGAGACGGATTGCTGTAAACACCTAGTATTGCAATCATTGAACATGGTTAGGATGAAAAGCCAGAAACCTTTCACAGAAGCTGCCGAGAAGAACGTCTCTGCGACAGGCGACAAATGCCATATTTACTGTCGGTTAGTTCTTTGCATGTACTTCTCGATGGGATTAAAAGAACATTCACAGGTTACCCGTATTAATGATCCGATACTCATTGAGATAAGACAGTCGCAGTGGTCGGCGCAGATGCTACAGGGGTCCAAGTATGGCCGACTATTCTGCACCATCAGAAATTTGGTAAAGCCCCTTTACCTCCTATGCTTGGATAATTTTACTCTCTTGATCAAATGAAAAGATAGCTGAATTGCAATATCGGACTTGATCTCCTTGAACTTATTCTCTTCGTGATATCGGCTGGGTCCGCGTAGGGTACAGTGGTCGATTATAATTATCCCGGAATCAGCGAGTATCTGCGATATTATAAACAAGCTTCTCCCCACGAATTTTACCGTCCCTTAAGAGCTGAAGTCCGTCTAAGATACCGTTTAGCCCGGCATTGCCGACCCTAGGAGGATGTGCCTTGATCTTTCCTCTGGCCAGCAAGTCCTGGAAAATGCCAGAGAATTGTTCCATAAAAGCTCTATCGCCTGGCTGAGCCGGAATCTCTCTTGTCCCGAACTGAAAGCTCCGACCAAATGTCGTATAGGCCATAGTCGATCGATCCCGGATATTCTCACGCTCAGTCTTTATCGGGAGAAGTGAGCTGTAGTCGCCGCCCTTGGTGGATAGCGCATGATCGCAGTACGTGGCACTGCTCTCCACTGATATTGTATCGAAAGCTAACGTAAGGCTGTCATTCGTTCGCTCTCTAATCGCCCTGGCGGAGGTTGGGTCATTGTAATCGAAAGCAGCATCGGCACCCAGATCCCTGACCTGATCGAAATGGCGAGGGGAGCAGGCTGTCAGAACTTCATAACCAGATAACTTCGCAAATTGAATCGCCAAAGTTCCGGTAGCTGATGAGCCCCCGTAAATCAAGACTGGGGTTTGATTCTGAATAGGAGCGATTGGGAGAGCAAGTTTGAGACTCTGATAAAGCCCAAGAGCGGCAGTGGTAACTCCAAGTCCCAAAGTCGCCGCCTCTTCAAATCCCATGCTGTCAGGGATTTTGTATTGAAGGTCGCCTTCGACGATAATGTATTCAGCAAAGGCTCCATCCTCGGGTTGGACGGCATTGGACCCGTGGACAAATCCACAGATCCGGTCTCCTTTCGTGAAAGGTTTCTTCACATTTTTGCCGACTGCTTCCACAATTCCGGCATAATCGCACCCAACAAGGACACCAGCGGGAGCCAGGAAGTCAATATGTTTCCAATCGGTAGGATTCAAGGCGACACTGACAGTCTTGACTAAGATACAATCGTCACGCAGCTTCGGAATGGCTCTATCGCTCACTACCTGCGCATGCTTTGGCGAAGTAAGGACGACTGCTTTCTGTGATGCCATGTCTGTGTGATTGGATACAAAGAGAGAAAGGTCTTTCGGGGAATGTATGGAAGACTGTCCATAGTTTGAAGGTGGTGTCTCCGCTAATAAATACTCACATACCGCCTGACTTGATTGCTCGATTACACCGGGCACACCCACGTTTATCTCCGATTCCTCCGACAGGACGACTCCCCATTTGATATCCAATAGGATTGAATCTGTAAGCAGCTTGCATTCTCCTTCCCGTGGCATAGGGCAATGATCCACTCGAGCAAGTTCTGGCCTCTAGTGGGTCATAGGAGCTATTTCTGATTGGCGAGGTAAGCAAGCTACCTTGGTATCAGTGTCTTAAAAGTGCGTTTCTAACGAGCCCCCACTCTAGCAATCTAGGAACTAAAGAACCCTGGAATCAATAGCGCCTTCGGTATCTACGGAGTAATCCACAGCAACGCTGATTCCGGTACGAATATGATATCATTACTAAGAAGCTTGGAGGGAACGGATCGGTATAAAGCCATAAGGGACCTGGTTCCGTGATCGTGTCTGCTCTTGACCCATTCTTCCCGTTGGTGAACTATCAATTCATGCCTTATCGGCTCAGTTTTTATACGTAATGGCGGCGAAGCTGAGTCTCACGTCTACCCAAAATATCCTTTCGGGGTATACAATTCCAGTGCTGGGATATGGAGTACGTGACAATGATCGCCCTGATTTAGATCTAGAAGTAAATCTAACGTCATTCTCAGCTTTACCAAGTGTATGCCAGGAAATATTCTGGTACTATGAAAATGGTGCTAATGATGTCAGCCCAGGCGAAATTGCTGAAGACGTCACCGAGAGAGCTCTGAAAGCTGGGTATCGCCATGTGAGACATCTTCTCGTCCCTTCCTTTGATAATCAGCTGCAAGTACTGACAGTGCGATCGTCTAGATCGATTCAGCTGCGGTATATAGGAATGAAAGAGAGTGTGTCTCTGCCATAGAAAAGGCTGGACTGAAGCGATCCGATGTATTCCTGACCACAAAGGTTTTACCGCAAGCTACGGGGTATGAGGCAGCGAAGCGAAGCATTGAGGACAGCTTGAAGAAAGCAGAAACAGAGTATTTTGACCTGTGAGAAGCTCCCTGTCATACACTATGCGTCACTTAAGCTGACTTTGGAAGAATCCTTCTCCATGCCCCCTTTGGGGGTAAAGAGGGTCGTCGCGGCGCTTGGCGTGCTTTGGCAGAAGCACAGAAAGCGGGAATGGCGAGGTCAATCGGTGTGTCCAACTTTGGCCTTCACCATCTAGAAGAGTTGGAAGATTACATCAAAAGCAGTGGGGAGGGAAGAATTGAAGTTGGCCAATATGAGCTCCATCCTTGGCTTGGACGTGCTGATTTAGTCGACTGGTTGCATAAACGTGGGGTGGTCATTGAGGCTTACTCCCCGCTGGCCAGAGGCACAAGAATGGATGAACCTGTTTTGCGCGCAATCAGCGAGAAACACAAGAAAAGCCCGGCTCAGGTTTTGATTCGCTGGAGCCTTCAGAAAGTAAGTATTTAGCCAAGCCTTTGTGACTAGTAAATTGGCTAATGTTCGGCCTTTGCCTTTCACCTAGGGTTTCGTGCCACTGCCCAAGTCCGCTACCCTAGAGCGGATTCTAGAGAATGCGAATGTGTTTGACTTCGAGCTGGATGAGGACGACATGCAATCTCTGCATACGGATGAATATGCACCTTCCACCTGGGATCCTACCGTACAACAGGATTAGAGATATACTATCATAGTTGAAATGCACTGATCATCCTTGTATACCTCATGCACTACTGAAAACCTTCGTCCAAACGAGCGGTTTTTCACCCCTCCTGACTCTCCATTTATTTGTCGAAAGAAGAATTTCCGGGCAACCTCGAAGAAAGAAGCGCCACTTCTTTGCAAAATCCTCCGTGACCTCCCAGTTCTCGGGGTCCCAAGGTGTTCCCCATACCAGCATTGTTGCGTTGCTACTACGTGTGTCCCAGAATGCCGTGAGGTCATGGCACAACTCATCATCATCTAAATCTGTCCCTGCACGGATGAGATTATCCCTCATCTGTGGAATGGGGAAAATATCAAGCCATGGGTGGTGCGGCACGGTTCGCTGCAATAGTGTTGGTTGTAAGCTGTGAGGAATGCTATTCTCACAACCTCGTGGGCTGGCCAAACTAAAAATGGAAATCGTACTATCCTGGCACATCCACTCGACCGTCATGCCAATTGCACGGACGTTTTGGTACGCTGCTCGTAGAACATTTAATCTACTCAAATTGAGGAGAAGGTCTGTTCTGGGCGAACCCTCGACATAGCGTGCCATGGCTCGCCGCTCGAACTGGGTCATAAGTTCATGTAAATTTGGAGGGGCAAAGGTACACTCCAGATGCTGCACCTCGGATAACCCGCATGTAATCGAGTCATGCTGTGCCGGCGACTTTGCGGTAGTCGTGACAAGAGTAGGGTGGCGGGGACCAGCGGACGCAGGTTGGGCACTGTCCGTCTGCGCTGCTCGTTTGTCCTGCCCTTGTCGGCGTAACCCTGCAGTCCGGAATAACCGGACTTTGTTAGCTTGCGGTAGGCATTGGATCTATTTTGAGTCTAGTGAAAATCTCACGGTAGGCTCTCTGGTTCAGCCGATTTTGTAACCTGCGTCGCGCAGCCGGGTTGGTGACACCGGTCCAGTCCTCATCGGGGGAATATGCCCGTGACTGCTGTGGCATCCGCTGAAGGCTCATTGATAAGCTTGGATCCACTAATTGTGCGGTGCTTCGCTTCTCTGTCATGGTTATAGGGCAAATATTTTCTCGGTGCTCGGTCGTTGTGACATGAACGTTGCGGTAGGGGATGGGACGTCATTTGCTTTGATCTTAGCTTCAAATAAGACGCTTACATCTTGCAATTTATTGGTGGAAGGTCTGCGTGTGGCCCACTTGCAGGCGAACCTTGGATTTCTAATCATTTCTCAAGTCTGCATAGTTAATCGGGATTAGCGTTTATTGGCCAACCTAGTCGCGGATGGGACTAAAGCCGCACTAAGTCCGAAAACTTGCCCTATCTTTGGTGGTTTCATGAAAGCTTGATCGACCCATACTACACTGTTACCTCCTAAGCGGTCTACACCAATGACGGACTGGCAGAGGGTAAGCAGCTTGTTATTCATCATGCATTATGACTATCGAAGCAACGGAGAATTGCGTGAAAACCACTCTCTAGGCTTCCCCACTACCTAGTATATAGCAGGCCCGTTTCTGCTGTTATGTGGGAGCATCAAGCCCTTTCAATCTTCCATCCACAAAACTCATTATCTGAGAAAACATGGCCACTCATCCTGCACTTCAAATAACCGGCATCAAGAAGCCGTTGAAGTTGGTGCAAGTCCCCACCCCGGAGCCCCAGCAAAATGAAGTCCAAGTCCGCATAGAATGGGTACCTTCCGCACCCTTGGACGTGTACCAAGTGGATGCTGGCTTAATGGTCCAATTCCCTCAGGGTCTCGGTGACAGCGGTGCTGGTACCGTGGTGGCAGTTGGGCCGGGTGTTGAGCGCCTTCGTGTTGGTGATCAAGTCTTTGGTTTCTTCTTTCACAACGACAAGGAGAAGGGCCAACAGATCTATGTAACCGCAGCGGAACATCTCTTTGGAAAGGTCAATATATACATTATTTTGAAGATTTCCTTTCCAGCCACGTTCTATAGAGCTGACCAACGAACTAGACGCCCCCAAGTGTGTCGCTGGCTGCCGCGGTTACGGTGCCGACAAACTTCTGTACCGCATTTCTGACTCTCTCTGAGAAGCTTGGACTGGACCTGCCTTGGCCACGTCCCTCCAACTTTACCCCTCAGCACCAAGATGCACCGATTCTCATCTGGGGAGCAGGTAGCTCCGTTGGTCAATTCGCAGTCCAGATCCTCCAGTATTGGGGATACACGGAAGTCATCGCAACGGCATCTTCCAAGCACCACGAAAGGATCAAGGGCTACGGCGCCAAACATGTCATTGATTATCAAGACCCCAACGCCATAGACTCGATCCTCAAGATATTGAACACAGAAAGCCCCGCCATTCCCATTCGCGCTTTCGACTGTATCTCCTCGAAGTCCGGATCTCTGCAGCATATCGCCAAAATCGCAACTCTGCCAGGCTCAATTGTGGCCGCTGTTCTCCCTGTGGTTACCCGTTCTCCTTCAGACAAGGAGGGTGTGCAGGTTTCAGCTGACGTTGCCGGGGAAGCACCCTGGATGTCTGGTGTAGAGGTCCACAGCGTTATAAGCTATGCTTATGAAGCGGTATGTACAGGAGTCTCACTGCCGTTGTCCTGGCTTGGCCTTAGATAGCTGACTTTACAATAGAATGCCTTTTTGAAAGATCATCTATTCCCAGATATTGTTCCCGCACTACTTGACTCGGGGGCCATTCAGCCGAATAAGTATCGTGAGATTGAAGGCGGCTCGCTCTTGCAGAGGGCCTCCACGGCTCTGGATACCTTGAGAAGTGGCACTGTTAGTGGTGAAAGACTTGTCTGGAAGGTTTGGACCAAGGAGGAATACCCGCAATATGAGTAAACTGCTTCGATATAGTCAATATGTGCAGGAAAGTAGGACGTACTAGAGTGTTAGATGACTGTGTTGAACCTAATGTAAAACTTGGAGATCAAGTCTTTTGGATGTAGCAGAAATAGCAATTGGCGCTTTCAGAATTCATGGCTCGTTCACGAGCGCCGTAGACTTTCGTATTATCGTCTAGATTGTAGAGCCTTCTAAGCTATTACAAAGGAGCCTATGCGTTAACTTTGATTTATCCCTAGTTGATTGGTTTCTCACCCTCCCAAGAAACGATACGGGATAACAGAGCCTGAATAGAAGAAAGGAAAGAACCATTGGCTACTCTAGTTGGAGACATTAGAGGATACACATGGGAAAGGGACATACTAAACACATAAATCTGCTCATTCACATTCGTTAGAACTTAAATCAAACATCATTAATATTGAAAACTTGATATTGAGGTAGGCATATCTTCTACGCCCATGGTATTGTCGTACGCAGGAATCAAATTTAATAGACAATTGTATTCTAAAGCCACCGTTCACTACTTTCTACTCTGTTCTACTCCTTGACCGTGAACCAATACACAAGTACCCCTATTAGATACCCCTAACAACCCCCTTTCCAGCAATCTTGCCATCACGGTGATCCTGAATTGCACGATCAATAGCGCTCAATCCACCAGAGTACTTCGTGAACTGCACACCCTTCAAGGTGCCTTCACTTACTGCCTTCGGTGTCCAAACCCCAATCAAGGAGGAAAGGAATTCCGCATCCTGCCAATATCAGCACAATCCACACCGTTTCGTTGAAAAGTAACTTACCGACTCCCCCAAAATCTCAACAACATTCGTATGTACCAAATCAATATTCGGCCGTCTCAACGCCTCCAAAAACTGCACATTGGCCACCTTACCACCCTCACCCACAATATCCAAACAAGCATTACACGTCTCCTGCGACGAAATAGCATCAAACGCAACCCTAAACCTAAGACCCTGCGCTTTCACTTGCTCAACCACATCACTAGCCCCATAGTCAATAACATGACTAGCTCCCAGACTCCTAACATAGTCAAAGTTCTTGGCGGAACAAACAGCCGTGACTTCAGCATGGGACGCCTTGAGAAGCTGGATCGCAAAAGCGCCTACAGCACTTGCTCCGCCCCAGACAAGTACTTTTTCCCTGCCGGCCGGAGCAGAGGACGGAATCGGGTAGGGGAAGTCGAGGGATCTGAAGACGGCCGTTGCAGCAGTGAAGAAGGAACAGCCGAAGGTCGTTGCGACTTCATCGGGGATGGAATCTGGGACCTTGAAGATCATGCGTGGGAGCATGGGGACGTACGTTTGGTAGCCGCCGTGGCGAAGGTCGGACGCGACTCGGCCTGTGCTCATCATGGATTGCATTCCGGTTAGTTGTTGTTGGGTGTAGCCGGCCACCTGTGACTTTCGTTAGAGGATGTTGGACTGTGGCTTTAAGAATTATGTGTACCTTGTCTCCAACGTTGAAGCCAGTCACCCTTGGGCCGACTTCGGAGATTTCCCCGACAATGTCACAACCTAGGATTATTGGGAGGTCTTGGGGGAAATGACCCTCGTATACCTTCCAGTCTGCGGCGTTGGTGGCGACTGCCTTCACTTTGACTATCACTTCTGTTGGTGCACATTGTGGGATAGGCAGGTCCTTGATAACTAGAGGGCCGTGGGTCTGAATGAGGATGGCTGCCTTGTTGGACATGTTTCTTTGAAGGACTATAGTAGAGGCTCTTTACCTTTGGTTCGATAGTGAGATGAGAATTGCTGTGGTATGATGAGCAGGGGGAGTGCACGACATTATATAGATGAGAAGTATGGTAGTGTCCCGTACATACGGCGTATATACGACGCAAATACAGTATCTTTATTTGTCAGCGAGGGTTTTCATGTAAAGGGCATTATAAATCATTATGTTGAAAAAATTAATGAAGATGGTGGTGAGCCTAAAAGGTCATGATAATTCTGCATCGCCGATTCAGAATGCCCTGGTCAGACTATACAGCTTCCCGCCGTTACATTCAGAATCCTATATCTAATACTTCCTTTATCTAGAATAAAATAGATACAGAAAAAAGTTTTCTCTACTATTTAGTATACTAAAAAAGTAAAGTACTGTTAGAACCAGCGTATCTCATATACTGATATAAATAGGCTGAGTATACTTACGAGATGTCTTAAGATATGTTAATAAAAGGCATAATAGTAATACTTCCGGTAAACTTACCTAGGGAGTAGATTAAAACACTTCTATATAGTTAGGCAGAGAGAATCGGATTATATAATAGTATTTAGATAACCACACTTCTCTAATATTCAGGCAAAAGCGAATATTGCCTATTTACAAAATAATTGGGGGGTATATTCAGCTGCAGCATATACACAGAGGGGCGGAGCCACGGTGAAAGCATCTTCAAATTTATGCATCTCTAATACGTGTTGTCGGGCAATCTTCCTGTAAGCTTCTGAGCTAAACAGGCATTTTTCAGAGTTTCTTTCAGTATCAAGTGAATTTCGACATTTATTTTAGGTAGAATTTCTTATTATCGTAGTTTGCAGATATGTCTAGTCAGCGATCCCTGGACTAATGCACAACACCTCAATAATAGCAAAACGGTGTCCTCCCCCTTTACAAGGTGCTGAGTTTATTCGACGGTTCTGACGATATTCGGCATCGATTCGAGGCCAGCGCACAAGACAAATACGAACCGAATCGATGGGTCCCGTTTAAATTTGAGCTTTTCGAGAAAGCTATACAGAGCCCTTTGGCAGTGTACAAACGCGATGATAAGTCACTCCGTATTGCGCCCTCTCTTTTCCTTTCTCAATCATGGTGGCATAGTCACAAATACTATCATCGTCGCAGCTAACCCATGCCCAGGGAAGCACTTGAGTACTGAATTCAGCAACTTAGCGGACGGTGTCGCCGCGCCCTTTGACAAATTTAAGAGGGATACATTAGCGAAGGCAGGCCAGTGGGAGAGCACGATACGCTGTGACGACACCAAAGGTGGCTCACGGGTCTGGATGATGCGACATAACCTCTCTCGAGGTCAAGATTCGCATGTATGCAATCCACAACTACTTCCTCACCCACCCATCCTCACCCATTCAGATGGCTAACATCATCGCAGCTGCCGGGTTACTCTCAATCTGTGCTGCAAAACGTCAACATAGACAACAATCCCCTCTATGTAGCCTTTACAGACTCATTTCCCGGTTACTATGACAAGAAATACCTATTACCCAGTGGCTCTTGGTATGAGAGTAGGAAGTTCCGGTTGGAGCCATTTGTAAATAATCGTGCTACAATCGAAGATGGCACAGAGGTTCGGATACAAGCTACTAATGGCTGGCGTTACCTTGCTAAGGGGAAGTCCGAACTAGTAACACTTCGAAAGTGGACGCTGACAAGGCTGACGAATTCTTGGTTTCTTAAGTGAAAAATATAAAGATGGAATCAGTGAAAATACTCAATCAATGCTTCAGCAGCCCTTACGAGTTTCTACAACAGGTTCTTTTAACAGACTTATTTCATTATATGCCTGCAATGAACACTAAAGTGGAAACATGAGGTGTTAGAAATTGTACTCCGTAAAGCTGTAACAGAGGAACCTAGGACTAAATACCTAGTTATACTTGTATTTAGCACGTATGGGTAGTTTTGAGGAAATAGAACTCCGTTACAGACAAGGTGGTCAGAGACCCACTCGGTCTCTTAGACGGTCTTCTATTTGCAGTAGCGCAGGCTGCCTCCTATTGCTACAAGTCCGGGCTAGATAGTGCATTATATATTCGGTTATACAAGTAACGGTGGGATGACCTGATAAGGTTCGACGAGCCCGGCATGTTTCTAGCGGAGCCGTATTTTTACTAGAAGACAAAGGAAAAGAATATTAGAGACAAGAGGTTAAGTATATGAAGGTGGATACATGCCAAACTAGATAAACAAGAGCTTTACTAACTACCCTTATATATAAAATCCTAAGATATTCTATTCTAAATCTCTAGTTTTTCAAGTTATTTATATAGAGTTTACTCAAGTTCTGACTATTATCCTATTTAGCATTTTTTATTATCAAGGCAATACTGTAACGGCGGGAAGCTATATAAGTAAGACAAGGGCATTCTGGATCGTAGATTCAGAATTATGTAACATTTTGGTCTTGTGGAATATCGGGACCTGGCGATATCTCCTACACAGAGTGGCGTCTGTCCTTTCCGACCCGATAACAACTCTACTTCTTTCGCAGATATCCACCAAACTTGTATATTAGATATGGAACAGGAACCAGGGCTACAGATATAAAGCCTAGAAGTGAGTTGCCCTATTCCAGAGGTTAGTATCTAAAGTAATCGCAGTGACTTAAATGTTTCTGTTACTTACCCAACCATACCCCAGCGTTGCATCTGCAGTTAAATCATGTTAGCATTTTCAGCTGGCAGCTGAACGAAGAAAGGAAATTTCTTACACATTTGCGGTCCAGCCAAGGGAAGGAACGCTCCAAATAAAGAACGCATAGCCGTCAGGGCAGCTACTGCAGAAGCAGCATATTTGGGAAAGGCATCAACCATGTATGTTTGAATGGGGATGAAGACACCAATCATGCCAAACCCGAAAGGGATCATCCCAATAATAGGCACGACCCAGTGTGCCTGGTTTTCCACTGCCCACCCATACCAGAAAAATGAAATGGGGATGAACACAGCGAAGATACCACAAGCTGCAAGACGCATCTCCGGTTCATATACCCCACCGTTGCTACGCGTGAGGGTCACGACTGTCTTGTCGTTGGACTTTGCCACGATGCCGAGCCCAACGAAAAATCCCAGGCCGATGCCTAAATATGCCAAGCCACAAAGCTGCGGTGACCAGCGGTATGTTACCTCGTAAACGCCGGTGATGGTGGTAAAAAGAAGGTATAGCAATCCATAGACGAGAGACATATAAAGAGATAGGATGAAGCTAATTGGTGTGGCGAAGAGTAGCCTGATCGGCACTAGGATCCCACTTTTGATGATCTGAAAGCTAGTCAGAGATTCATCTTTCCTATAACAATTACGGAGGTCAGGCCTATTTGTTTGTTTAGCGAGGAGATTGGTCTTCTTTTGTATGATAACTTCCGGATTGGTTTCGGTGTTGAACACTTCGATGCCCACCGTCGCAGTCCCGGAAGCGATCAGTAACACCCAAAATACCTGCTAGTTCTTTAGTATTGTCACATTAGGATAAAGGCAAGATCTACTTGACGTACCCATCTCCAGCTGACCTGCTGAGATAAAAACCCCCCTGCAATGGGGCCAATGACAGGGCCTATCAAGGGCCCGATACTAAACGCAGCCATGGCTGCCCCTCGTTCGGTTGGGTTGAAAAGATCACTGATAATACCACCCCCTATTGTAAGACATCCAGAGCCACCAATACCAGCCAAAAGTCGGAAGACAATCAGAGCTGCTAAGTTTGGCGCTTTGGCACAGCCGATCTGCCAAATGACGAATATTGAATTTGCGGTGAAGAGAACTGGCCGTCGACCATATATTTCGCTGAGCGGCGAAAGGACCAATGGACCGAACTATATTAAATCAGAATAGGAACAGCGCGGATAGCAGTGAGATACTTACAACGTAGCCAAGTAGGTAGATGCTGACGACCAATGAGCTTAAGACGTCGGATTCGTTGTGAAAGGATGCATTCATAAACTGAACGCCCGGTGCGAACATTGACGATGCAAGGGGACTTACGAACTGTTAAATAAATGTACCAAGAATGGAGTTATGGTCGTCTTTCTCACCTAAGGAAGGACATGAGACTGACAAAACCTAGGATGGACCACTTTCGAGCCTTTGAAAAGTTTCTACCGTGAGAGACGGGTTAGTGTCGATTGATGGCTTGAGGGAAATGGCCAGTTACCTGGGATTTGCTGGATCCTTTTGGTCGTCCCATCCCACTATACCCTTCTCCAAATTGCTTTCTGGAAAGGAATCTTCGAAAGTGGACGATGTGGAGTTGTTTCCATCTCCGTTTGATAAGTCACCTTCCCCAGTGTCCGTCCGGTTTCCAGTCTTCATGACTTAAGGCTTTTGAATCTTAAGTTAATTCAGTAAAAAAAAAAGAAAAATTGTATTAGTACTCATGTATACACGAAAAAATCATATATGTCAATTTGGACGAGAATGCAGGGCATTGGGATTTATAGTATAGGAATGCGGCAGCCTATCAGCTTGCAGGTGGCAGACTCCCGTAAATACGGCGTAATTGCGACGTAACTGCGGGATCAACCGCGTATATACGACCTCGCTGCTATGTGCGCCTCGACTCACCCCAGCACATTCTGCAGTAGGCATGATTTAGTTCTCTCCGAAGGGAGGAATTAAAATTCTAAGTGGAGCCACATCATATAATCATGAGCGAGTCTGCCTTTCAACAGAGATTGCCGGAGTCTGAAAGGGATCCTTCAAGAGACCTCCAGTCCGGGAAAGCCGGCGCTCCACCAAGGAAAAAACGACGGCGACAAATTAATTCCTGCTCTGAATGTCGGCGACGAAGGTCTCGCTGTGACCGCAGACTTCCATGTGGGGAGTGCTCGAAGAATAAATGTTCATGCCATTACATAGACGACCTGGATACGGCCACGACCACCCAGAAGCGGGACACAAGCGCAAAGAATGCATCGTTTCCTCCAACAGCCCCGTCAGCGTCACAAGAACTGCCTTTGCCAAACCCTACGAGGCTCGCTGAGACACAGGAAGATTTAACTGCACGTGTCCACAAACTGGAATCCCTTTTGAACACCTACTTGCCAGTCCTGAGTCGGTTACAGTCAAGCCAGAATACCGCCGATTGTCTAGCCCACAGGCAATCTCCACACGCCCAACCGCAGAGCGTTCCAGCAAATACCTGCATTATAGCATCTTCTGCTGATGTGCCTACTAAGATTCCCAAGATATTCGAGGCAGAAGGCTATTTAAGAGGGAAGAATGGGCGTAAGACAGAATTTGTATCCAACAGACATTGGACGGGCTTAATATATCTAGTGAGTATTGTGAGGATAGATTAAGGTTGGAAGATGTGAAAGGTCACTAAAGTGTTCGCTCAATCGTACTCAGTTCCCTGAAATCTATTCGCTCCGGAATGAACCTAGCAGTCATCCCATCTGCTACATGATCAGTCAAGTATTCAGGCACATTCGTGAACGTGGCAAGAAGCAGAAACCTGAACCGTTATCATCAGTGGTCCCTTCGCTATCAATTGACACTGCGCTTCGTGGCCTTGTGCCTTCGAAGTCACTTGCCAGTACTCTGCTGAATGTCTACCTTGAGAACTTCGAAAACACACACCGTGTGATCCATATTCCATCTTTCAAAGAGGAGTTCGAAGCCTTTTGGCGCTCACCAGGGACGTTGAGCCTTTCTTGGATCGCAAATTTAGTCATCATTCTTCGACTCGGGCTACTTGCGCACCCCGATCGTGAAAGTATTTCAAAAGGCGCCTCCCCAGAATGGCTCCAACGCATAGAATCTCAGGGCTTGCAGCTAGCTGAATTGTTCTCACATTGCAGATCATCAGAGGGCCGACCGTCCCTCGACTATGTCCAAACCCAATGCTTGCTAGTCGTGGCTCGCATAACCGATGGATCGAAAGCAACAATTGCCTGGAAACTAGCGGGACAATTGGTACAAACCTGCGTTATAATGGGGTTTCATCAGGAGCTAGAGTTAGTCGGCGGTACTATGTCCATATTTGACGCCGAGATGCGTAGGAGATTGTGGACAACAGCCTTGGAGTTGTATATACATGTCTCAAGGCATGCCAGTGTACACGAATCATTTCTTCAGGCCCAATACAATATACGCCGCCCATCAAATATCAACGATCGAGACATGTCGGCTGGCATGACACACCTACCAACGCCTGACTTTAGGGTATCAATCAGCGATACATCCTTCCAGCATGCACTATCAGAATCGTTAGGACTCCGCCTGCGCTTGGTAAGCTCCCACCGCAATGACCTTGGACAAGCTGAATTGACAGGAGACCACTGCGCATCCTGTGGCCTACGCAACCGACTACTTTTGAAAGCGCCATACGTGCTGTCAAATGGTCAACCTTTTGAACAAGGCACTTATGACCAGCGTCAGCATGTGATGTTATGTCTCACTCATCAAAGTACATTTCTCCATTACAAATTAATAGATCTTTTCAAAGACACAGGATCAGATCTTCATTCTAAGGAACTAGTTCTGGACGCTTGTCGCTCGATTCTCAGACTCTACCAGCACCCTGACCTCTCTCCAGTACAGCGATATATTGTAGGGCGCTGGTATCGAAACGACATCCTGACCTCTGTTATTTGCCTGTGCTTAACGTTGAGGTTGACACAACCTAATGGTGCAGACAGATGTGTCGTACCGCTGACTCAAGGTGAGCAGATATTAGTCACTTTGGCCTCGGAAAGTATTTACTTAATGTTGGCCTAGACCTTTCCCTAGTGCAGCAAAGTTTGAAATTGGTTGAAGATACCCTTTATCTACTCTCAATGAGACAGGACCAAACCCAAAATGAGACGGAGGAGCATGTACTTCTTGTGCTGCTGTTCGCTATTGTCAAGTCAAAGGGTATACAGACAGATATTCCAGGTCAATTACAGGAGTGTTTGAGAAGCCTCGGACTTCCGGTCTTGCTGCCACCCGGTGAAAATTCGTTAGAAGGAACAGGCGATGTGAGTTCCAAAGAATGGATGGCATGTTTATGTGCTTTACTGATACAGGGAACAGAGTCTGACCGAGCGACATGCGCCTTCAGGGCCCAACTTGGAGGCGTTTGCTCCTACGCCCAAAAGCTTTTCATCTGTGGACATGGACATGGTAAGCTGACTGAGACTACGGATACATTGCGTATACTAAAGTGTGAAGGTCTTTGATATTGATTCATTTATGTCAGAATTCGCTCTGGACATTCCGTTCTGATCGATTCTAGGTAATTTGGTCTCTGGCTGATTTAAATATGGTACAAAGTGTATTATTCCAATATTCATGTAATATCTCCGATGCTCTACCTCCCAACGCTTAAGCATCCCGGGCCCACCTAGTTTACGTGCCATTGTAAATGCAGTATAGAATTTCAAAAAGAAGATTGTGCTTAAGGGCTATACCCTAATTGCAGCAATAATGTTGATCCTAGCATATTCGGACCATAGTAAGACTTGTTGTTGTGTTATGAATTCTTGATATTGCATTAACTAGTATTTCAAATATTGGCGACACAAACCTTTGGTTTAGTAACGGACAAATTTGTTTGAACTTGGATTAATCTTTTTCTATATACTTGAGCTAGTTCCCTTTTCCTACATCTCATGCAAACACCACGGCAATAACACCCTGCATACTCATATCTTAAGATCCTTGTGCAATTGTTTCTCAATCAGGGAAGCAGGTATAGTATTCATGCAGAAGAATGCCAAAGCTCATGCAACCCAAAACTCTTCAAGAATGGTCCGAAAATTGTGCGCTTAGTTCTATAGATTAGCTGCCATTCTCGCCAAATCCAAGCGCCATTTAACACGCCCAGTCAAGTTAAAAGACAAGATTGACAAGCTGAATCACAAGCAAGTATACCCTTAATGGCCCATTGATAGCCCCCGGAAATCATTCAGTACCCAGGGATAACTATGTGCAGAGTACTTTAGCAGGCTGGGTCCGTCAATTCTCGTGGTGTGACAAGAAATTGAGTGCGTGGTGGTTCAGAAAGGCGGTTTTGATTCACCCTATACTTCTGGAGGGAGTAGTCGATCATGGTATAATTATATAGTAGATACTAATAGTAGAATCCTTCAGTCTGCTTTCTACCGGCTGGAAGGCTGCGTATACCCCAAATCTAAAGACAGAATCTTAAGACAAAGGAAAAGGAAAAATCAGATACAATAAAAGGGAGAACGGTTAGATATTCCTTCTGGTCTGATCAGACGACACCGCTTACATATACTGGAGGTTAAACACCGCAGCATCAACGCCGTCCGATGTGCCTAGCGTGCCAACTTCAAGAAAGCCAATTTTTCCCATAGGTCTATTTCCCTCGCCCACAAATTCCCAGTGAACCTTGCAGTCCTGGCTTTCGTCAAGTATATCGCGCTGAATATTCTCAGCCACAAATTTGCATCTTGCAAGCGGCATATTGGGCATGTCCACCAAATAGGATGTTTTGTATTCCGGAAATGTGGGAGTACATTTGAGCTCCACGCCTGTGAAGGTATTGGTAATGGTATAAATGTCATTGTTGATCAGCTGAATCACGCCGTGGCGAGTTAGTCACCATACCATATATAAGAGAATATACAGTCCTACCTTTCCCTGGCCATTTTCGTCAAAGTACATCTCCCCCTGCACTCGGAACACCTGAGGGTTGACTGAGTTGGGCACCGTGCTGTCTGGAGCCTCTAGAAAGAGGGGCCGCGGATGTCCGTCCCGCAACAGGGGTATCAACCCACCCCAAATATAACTATGGTGAGGATGTTTATTCATATCGTCCAACATTTTGCTGCCTTTTCATGTCGTCAGTGCCCTCCTCTATATTTCAATTCATGAACTTAATTCATACGTACACAGGCTAGCATCTCGACTTGGTTCTGGTCGGACCGTAAGGTACTTCGATGAGCTCTGATGTTTGAAGCATAGTGTAATCTTTCCCTGACGCCTACCAGGAGGTACAGGTGGCGTAGGTGTAGGGTCGACCTTTTCGGATATACCTCTACAAAGCGGGATATTTGCCAGATTCGGGTCAACTCGGACTAAGAGCTTTTCGATCGCGATAGGGGCATCTTGCTGTGCGGCAATCAGCAACTGTTCTGTATTCACAAAGGGACGATAATACCTTAACCACTCGCCAATTCTTGTACGGACCTACTGTGTTACACCATGCAGCTGGACTAGCTGAGTGTCAGTCTGTCATATCAATGCACAGAGAAGGGGTCCAGGCATAACCAACTTGTTGCACAATAATGGATCACCTCCCTTTGCTTCCCATGTCAAAGTACTGGTGAGTTTACTCTCACTCCTTTCTTCGCTCCCGGAGGTGGCAGACCCAGAGCTATAACTGCCAGAGGCCTGCATGAAGGAAGAGGAAAAGGAGACACCAGCAGAGTACTTCATCGCCTTGGATCTCTCGGCGATGGTTTGGCTACCCATGGCTTCAGACTCTTCAGTAGCATGAAGCCGGCCACCAAGCTCAACACGCGTTGTGAAAAAGCAGCCTAGACTTCATGTTAGATCATCGGGTGCCATGATAAGTGCTCGTTCAATCTCTACCATATTTATCTTTAAAGGCCTGCACATCGTCCTTGGTTTCGACCCTTCGGGCATCATCCCTGCATTCATCCGTGAGTTCGAGACTGTCTTCATCGAGTTGGAGCAACACGCGCGGGAACTAGTTGATTAGACAAAGCTTTCAGCTAAACCAGATGCCGTAAGAGAATATAGCTCACGTTATAGGTAATTGTCATCATCTTCCTTTCTGTAGCACTCCTACTGGAATTGGCGGCATTCTCCTCATTCTCATAAGCGCCCTTTGCCCCAAAGCTATACCCAAACAAGCCACCACCACTAGGATTGTTAGCGAGCTGATAAAGCCAACTAGTTGTGCGAACTTACACTGCTGCCTCGGCAGCCATCTCCGAAAGACATGCTTGGGCAATAGCTCTTGAGACAGAGGACTGTGACTCTGTGACCTCAACGTAAGATTCATCATTAACGATGAAGCGAGGGATAAACAGATTTTGCTGCCACAGGTTAGTTTGGGTTGGGGGGTGGCAATGTGGCTCAGGAACCTACATCAGGGACGTGAATATTGTTATTGTCGAGATTCACCTTGCGAGCTGGGAAACGGCGATGTTTCAACGTGAATGCTGTATGAGTGTAAGATGCCCGAATTCAAGCAAAAAGAAGCATGGATACATGGCATATACCTGGGTACATGGCACGCTGGACTGGCCGTTGGATGCCTGGTGCTGGCTTCCTCACACAGCTTCCATGGAGAAGAGAATTGCACCGAACCACGAGGTCCCATTGCTCCTCAGACATTTCGACAGCATAGCTGTAATGGTTAACATGGAAATTGCATTCACGATGCTAAATAACCTACGTCGGTTCATTGTCGGCTGCCTTGGCCATCCAGCTGCTATGGTCGTACAAGGTATCCGGTAGTTTAATATCACCCGCCTTGGCGAGCTCCGCTTTCTAATCGTTGTTAGCATATGGGGAGGCTGATCGATATAGACAGCATAGTACTCTTAGCTCAATGTCCAGCTTCTGTCTGACATATTCCTTGGTTGCCTCGTCCATCCCGGTGAGGATGTTTCCTGTCTTTAAGTAGACACAAACAGTCTGCTCTTCTTCCTCGGATTGGGGTTGGCTCTATATTGCGTTTAGCAACAAGCCCAACTCTGTGTATGCTGTTGTCCACTTTTGAGCCATGGCCCAGGTATATGTAGCACATACCTTCTTGTCCTGACTGCCACTTTCACCATTTGCCTTCTGCCCACGGTCAAGGGACTTTATATAATCCTTGAAAAGTAGCTCCTCACTGGCGACCGCCCCAATCTTGTTGCAAAATGGGCTTGCTCTCCTGGAAGAAATTAGGATACTCTATCAGTGACACTTTAGTGACTCTGCAGCATGCTTACTGTCGTGAGTTTAGTGCCCCATTACGGTTGAGCAATTGCCGAATGCCACCCATTGTCATGTCTTGATTGCAATTCACAACTTTGACAAACTTTGTCATCTCAGTGCTCTTGGAAACAGGGTCATAGACATGAATCTCAATCATGACGGGACCATAATCCTCAGAGATAGGAAGATCTGTCTCCGATTCGGAACCGATATTACCCTGTGTTTCCTTAATAAAAGAATTAGTCCTGGGCTTCGCGGCCACTGAAAAGTTTGGGGTATAGGGATAGGTACATTAATGGTAGACATGGTGCCAAACTCGGACAATTTAAGCTTGTCTCGCTTGCAACAAGTTATTGGTGGTGTATGTTTCAGAGAAAGGATATCTGATAGATGGATGAATCTCTAGTAAATTCTACGGCTGGGGTAGTGCCCTTTAATATCCTCTCAAGGGGATCTAAGGCATTGGCGCATACTCCGATCAGTGCCATAAAGAGTTACAGGAACCTGGCAGCGCATAGGTCAGGAGTGCCTGATGTCGTGGGGCTGCATTATTAGCGAAATGGGAACCTTGGATACTAGCATGCTGATCTTGATCCTCTTCTGCATGCCACAAATCTCGTAATAACCGGTGGACATTTTGTACACCATTCGTATTTGGATCACAACCTTTGTACTGGTTATTCTCTATTCAGACAGCGAATTGTCTTGAACTTTTACCCAGTATATATTACTGAAGTGGTCTCCAATGTAAACCCACTGTAGCCTTGCGCGAAGTACTGTGTCTTATGCAGTGTCTGACAAAAGATTGAGATTGTCAGACTTAGCTCGTTTGCATAATAACACTAGGCACGAAGGCCCCTAGGCAGGTATCTTACCTAGGACACGGTGAGTATATGGCATTACTGTAAACACCCTGCATAAGCAATTGTCTATGTGACCGCTCTCATGTCCCTTGAAAAATTATATCCAATGTCAATGTGTGGAATTTCAGCTCCCCACTCAGCCTGCGTTAGAAAGTTCCAAGTCCTAAGACCCACATTATAGGCATACTTAGCGATCCAGTCAAAACTGTTGGAAATGACATCCGATATGGTAGGCCACGAATTATCCGTCATTTTCTATCCATTCTACCCACTTGAGACAAGTCGCTGCATTTATACCAATCTGGATTGCCAACTCATTGATATGCGGGTGACAGCAACTTTGTGACAAGAAACAATGCAACTACGGTCTCTTTGGCCTGTACCAAATAGTGGGTATATGTAGACCGCAGGAACCTGTGATATTCTGGTGGGAGTGAGGGAAGTAAACTTCGACCAAGCGCAAGTCAGCCAGCCACCTTGAATAGGAATATCCTTGGCTTGCAAATCAGGATAAACTGGATGGTGTTTCAACGCTCTACTCAATTCAATAATTCTTTCAAAGCATCTATATCCTTTGTTACTCCGATGCTCACTTTGTCCCGAGGAAGCGCCTCAGGTTGTATACTCTGTTCAGAAGAATCTATTTTTTGCCTGATGTTGAAGGGTCACTTTACCAGCATATAATTTACGTAAGTAGTAACCTTTGTGAAGCCGCACCTGCCTACCTATTAGATGGAGCCACGTCATTGCCATCATGCACATATCTGCGTGTCTCCTAAGGTATCCCAACAATGCATGGCGACCTGAAAAGCGTCCAGAGAGGGAGCAAGACGAATCAGGATGCATTAGTTGTGTGACCCATCATTCGGTCGAGGCAATGGTCCAAGCGCTCGTGGCACTATTGTTTCTAGCTATCAGCCTGTATCCTTTTATGCTTGTGGTTCAAACCTAATGATACAGCGAATACAGCCAAGCTGTGTTGCTGGTAACCAACCGAAGGAACTGGTATAGCGGACAATAGGTACAGGCCTGGCAAAATGAAACTCTTGTATAACTAGCAGTGGCGTCCTTGAGAGCCTCTCAGTTGCCTTTTGCTATAGTATGAGGGGTAGGTTTCACTTTAAGGTAAATCAAAAAATAGAAACCTTTGCGAGTGGTCATGTTCTGCTTGATATCCTCACATATTAGCCTGAACAGATGATGAACAGCGCTTAGGTTGGATATTTTATTGAGGTCCAATCATAGATGTGTCCTGGCCTCCTGCAAACTTCCTAGGGTAAATACCGAATAGAATGGGTATATTACGACAACGGTAGAATAGACATTAAACATACATACAACTGAACCTTCCACAAATCAGTACGAATTATGAAATAGCTCTATATAGGCAGCCTGCTGTGCGTTTCCACCAAGTGGGTATGCGAATATGATTATGGGCATTAAGCACACTGCCTTGGTCTCGATTGGTCCTACTTCCTGTCCTATTCATGTAGATCTATCATCTTTGTGCTTGCTACGGGTAGCAAGTATCAAAGAAAAAGAACAAAACATATCTCACAACGAAGAACAAAAAGAAAATATGAAATATTATCTTAATGGTGGAAAGATGCCTGATTTCTTACTCATTCTTGAATTCATTCCTGTCCTATCTTTTCTAGCTATTCCCACTTGCTAGGCGTTGTGGGCCCGCTTAGCGGCCTGGAAGAAACCCCCTTAGCGCGCCAGACGGAAGCCCTTACCAACATATTACTTAAAGGAATGCAGGACCCAGGGCATTCTAGCATGTCCACATGCCGTAGTTTCCTTTTTATTCTGTAGACTTTCCTATGGTCTGATAACGTCGTTCATGAACAAAGAAGGGGTGAGCCTGATCAAGGTTCCCACGGGTTCCCACGGGTTCCCACGAGTGAACTTGTTCTCTACGGCTGAACTAGACTGCTCTAGGACATAAGCACAATCAACACACCTTGAGGGTCGCGAGGATTAAGGCGACTGTATGGCTAGGCCTGATAGACTTATAAGCCTCGCGAATACTGGTGCTACGAAGTGCCTCAGGTCGCTACAGCCTTGCAGGTAGATAAGCGCTTTCTTTGCTTTACCCCTCCATCTTCAGTCTCAGCAGTCTCAATAGTAATTTTCTACCATGCCTGTACATCCGCAGATGCCAGTCAGTTCTTTCATGATTTTACTGAGGAACAGCACATTGAATAGTTAACCTTTCCAAAGATCGGCCGATGTTCCTGAACAATAGATGGCATACAAAATGAGATTGGTACATGATGACCACACAGTGGCATGGATATGTGCATTGCCCTTGGAGGTAGCAGTCACGAGGGCTATGCTTGATGAGGTTCATAGTCCTACACCTCAACCAAAGCATGACCGGAATCTCTATTGACTTGGCAGTATTAGCGCCCTCAAAGTGGTAGTGACTAGCCTGCGTGCTGGTGTCCATGGGACAATATCTGCAACAGCTGTTGTGTCAGGCTTGGTGCCCACCTATCAAAATGTCCAATTTAGATTTATATTCGGTATTAGAGGAGGGGTTCCCAGCCGAAATACTGATATTCGCCTTGGTAACGGGGAGGTGTTATCCAGTATGACTACGGTAAGACACTTCGGAATGGGCAGTTTCAGCACACTGTATCCCTCGATAAACCCCCCAAAGTATTGTTAAAGGCTACAGCTTAAATAGAGAGCGACAGTATACTGGGAAAGAGCGTGCTTGGCCCGATATTGACGGAAGTAATACGGAGAAGGAAAACGAACATAATTTGCACGGTCAGACTATGACTGGTTGTTCCAAGAGGCATTTAATCACAAGGGCAAAGGAGAAGACTTTTCAGCGTGTGATAAAACTCAGCTTGTAGACCGACCTAAGCGAAAAGGCCAGAAGTCTTTTTTTACTACGGGCGGATTGCTTCCGAAGATCAAGTGGTGATAGATGCGAAAACCTGAGACTCCATTGCCCATGGCCAAGACATACTATATTTTGAAACGGAAGCTGCTGGACTCATGGACAAACTACTGTTACTCATTATACAAGGTATCTGTTACTACTGTGATCCACACAAGCAAGAACAGTGGCAAGGATCCGTCGTGCTTACTCTCCTGCTTATGCCAAGGCTATTTTAATAGCGCTTCGTGTTTACTACGACAAGATATATATGGCTGGACCCACGAGAACAGTGTGGACGATACTATTTACTAAGAACCCAAGATTTTTGGGCCGAGGATATGAGATTTCTAAGGTTGAGGCCTGGATGGCAAGAAAAACCGGCCTATCCAGGAGCTATATGTGGATTGGGTGGAATTGGGAAGACCCACATCGCAGTTGAACTGACCTATCGCACTATAGAAAGAGATTCGGAATGCTCAATTTTCTGTATTCTTTGTATTAGCTATGATAGCACTGAACAGGGCTTCAAAGATATTACAGAGAAACTCGGAATGACTGGAGAGAGACTAGAAGAGGCAAAAGATGTAGTGAAAAGCTACCTAAGTCGGGAAGAAGTAGGAAGATGGCTTTTAATCCTTGACTATGCTGAAGATATAGATGTGTGGTTCTGTGATAGTAACAGTGCTCCAGTATTGAAGCGGTTCCTCCCAAAAGCCAGAAAGGACATATCCTTTTCATCACACGCAATCAAGCACTAGCTACGATATTGGCACGTCCTTATGTGTTAGCTATCTCCGAGCCGGACAAGGAGACTGGAGTGAAGGTGCTGCAAAGTTTGCTGATCAGGAGTGACCCGCTGGCTGGTAACAGTAATAGCACTGCTATCACGCTTCTTGAGCAACTTGCCTTTCTGCCATTGGGAATCACTCAGGCTGCCGCTTATATTAACGAAAATGAGATCACTATCTATAAGAACCTCGAGCTCCTGCGGATACTGGAATCAGAGATAATCGACCTACTGAGTGAGAATTTCCAGGACGACAGACGGTACGACGACATAGAAAACCCTGTGGTGAAAGCATGGCTGGTATTAATCAAATAAAGCCAGAAATCAAGTCCCTTAGCAGGTCAGTACTTGTTATTTATGGGTTGTCTCAGTACACGGTCTGTCCCGCAGTCCCTCCTTCCTCCGGCTAAATCGGAAAATGACTATATCAAGGCTATAGGCCTACTCAAAGCATATTTCTTTATAAGTACCCAGGCAGAGAGTCCGCTAATACGTCTGAATCAACTCATCCATCTTGCCATTCGGAGCTGGATGCAAAGTACAAACAGATTTGTTAAAGAATCTTGCAAACTGCGGACCGATTTCAATTGAGTTTCCCAGATAATGACTACAATAACCGAAAGATGTGGTGTGAATATTTAGCACACATATCTTCACCGCAAGAGAAATGTGATTTCAAACAGTAGCCGTAGAGATATCTTAACATTATCGATAATATTCAAACTTGCCTGCAAGGGGACGGTAAATATACTGAAGCAGAGAAGTTGGTAGCTCAGATAGTAGAGATCTGGAAACGGGTACTGGGGCCCAATTATTCAGACACTCTAGCCACCTCGCATGAACTTGGCGAATGGCAAAAGATGGGCTGCTCCTTGGCACACAAACACTCAGAGGCATCTGGTCAATTGGGAGAAACTCAATGGCCCTCCGCAACCCCAGTAGATGGGGCGATCTCTGAACTGCTTAGTGGGGAATATATAGTCCCACCTACGAGACGAACCACGACAGGAATACCGGCAAAAATGGGTCTCGGCAGAAATTCGCTCCTTGTAGCTTTGAGACGGAGTTCATCCGTAAAACGGGCTTAGGACTTAGAAGAAGCGGATTGACAAATTGACATAATGGAGTAGTCAGGTCACATTGGCATAGGATCGGTGACACGATGGAAGACTATGAAAGGGGGAGGACTGTTGTGGATGTGAGCCCTCCTCTCCTTTTACTTCCTCTGGTTTTTGATGATCAGCTGTTACTAAACATCCTTAAAAACTGCAAAAATGGCTTCAAAATTAAGAAATCAATATAAAAATGAAGGTCTGTAAACTGGTGGATTGTTTTATTAGATACATAGCCAGAGACCTGGAGTTTTTGCTTTCATCTCATTGGATGTTCAAGCCCCCGAAGGACGCATTAGCTGACATGGGTAGATATATGCTGAACGCCCATTCAGCTGTGGCCCATAATCTTCTTAGGCTCATACAAATCGTCAATACTCTTTATCTCCTCCTCGCTGAGCTTGAAATCAATAGCCTGGACAGCCTCGTCCACTCTCTCCTTTTTGCTCATTCCCACAATCGGCGAGGTGATGAAGGGCTTCGACAACACCCAAGCGAGCGCAACAGTAGCCATGGAAACCCCACGGCTAGCAGCAATCTCTCCAACCTTCTCATTAATCTTCTTATCCGCGTCAGTGAAAGGGTTTCCCATGAAGCCGCCTTTCAGGGACTCCCCACGAGCAGTGTCATTGCTATTCCATGGCCTTGCTAGAAGCCCCATAGCAATGGGGCTCCAGGGGATACAGCCCATCCCGAACTTCTGGAGCGCAGGGAACATCTCCCGCTCCTCCTCGCGGTAAGCAGCGTTATACAGATTCTGCATCGTGATAAATTCCGTCCATCCATTCATCCGAGCAGTGTACTGGTACTCTAGCAGCTGGTGCGCAAACATCGACGAAGCACCAATATACCGGACTTTTCCGGACTTCACGACATCGTGGAGAGCCTCCATGGTCTCCTTGGGCGATGTATTGGGATCAAAGCGATGGATCTGCAGCAGGTCGACGTACGGCAGATCGAGCCTCTTCAGGCTTGCATCAATGCTGTCGAAGATATGTTTCCGACTTAATCCGTACTGGTTTATATATCCATTGTTATCGCGTTCCTCTTGGGACATGCCAAGTGGTCTCTCCGAGCCCCGTCCGACAGGCGCCCACACCTTGGTGGCGATGACGATGCTCTCGCGGCTCCAGTTGTACTGCTTGATTGCCTTTCCGAGAATAACCTCCGAGTCACCATTAGAGTACATATTGGCTGTGTCGTAGAAGTTGAGGCCCGACCGGTAGCAGTGGTCGAGGACGGGGAGGGCTTCTTCTTCCGGGATTGTCCATTCTAAGGGCTTGCCCGGGGAGCCGAAGCTCATGCAGCCCACGCAGATGGGGGAGACTTTAAGTCCGCTAGTTCCGAGGCGTACGTACTTCATGATGATTGGATTGATACTGGGTGAGGGTTGCTTGAAGCTACTAGATGCATGGTGAGGCCGGGTGGTAGCTTGGCTTTATATCTGGTAACCACCGTGGTCGGAGTTAGGTGGGGTTAAGGTCAAGTCGTTATAATGGCTTATGTCCGATTGCGTTGGCGTTGTAACCTATACGAAATGTGGATCTTCAGTTTCTTCCCCTCTTGGTCCGTTACTAATAAAGTCATTGATCGACCTATATCTCTGTGTTTCAACACGTGTGTGGCGGATGCCTGGGCCAGTTGTTGGAATCGCCGGGTTGCGTAGTCGGAGTAGCCTAATCACACCGGATAAATCATTAGGGCATCCTCATTGAAAACCAAGATATTATGTTAGTCGCTATTCTGTCAGACTATACTATTTACGTCGCAGGATGGGGCCAGACTCTATTCCCAAAGTCCGTGCATACCCGAATGGCGTATATGCGAGTGTTGCCTGTAGCTCCACAAATGCCCTTACAAGTCTCCGCCCAATATACTCCGTCGCAAATTATCCACCCTAACAACCAATAGAATAGACCAATTCTGGTTACTTCAGAATCGCGTAGATATGGTTACAGTAGGGTTTCATGCCCCTCATCCCAGGTGGTCCTCGCACTACGATCACAGACACTTACCGTGGAATGGATACAAAAACCAAGATTCTTACTGCGCTCTCACAACACAATCGCCCCCCTCCCCCCATACAGGTATGAAGTCTCTGCCAAGGGAATTTAAGCTTGTCAATCTAGAATGGAATAGAGTCAGCCCTATTTGGAAGCCGATAACACCACAGTCACCCTGTCATATGCATGATCTTGACGCAGTGCATGAGCCTCCAGCTTAGCTACAACAACACGTTCCGCTGTTTGTGGTTGAGTTATGTCGTTGGCAGCTGTTATCTTAGGGTATTCTGGCTTAGCTGTGGAAAACAGTGCTCGTTGCTTGGTTTATGTTAGTACGTAGGGATACTCATGTTCCTTGCATTCTATACGCTTTTGTGATTGTAAATATGATAAATTGGAGAGAGGTTGGAATAAGATTTAGTGCCGTCAAGGTGTTGGGGAGATGTTATTTAGGGTTTGATTGGATGTAGGGCTACTTGATGGACTAGGGGGGGTGATTCGAGATAAAATGCTGCACGCGGTAAGGTTATAAGCGGGGATCAGAAATTGATGATATAGTTGGATAGTTCTAATTTCTAGTGGTTAAGGTATAAGTCTCTAGCCTTGATAACCATAACCAGTGACGATAAGGAGGCAATTCGTAGTCTAAATTTTGTATACAAGCTGTGATTTTTACCGATCCAGGCTGCACAATTTCGTATTGACACAAGGAGCAAATTAGACCGTCTATGTTTGGGAGTTTGGGAGATAGGTAGTGTACATTTGAATGAGCTCCGCGAGGAGTAAAATTCAGTAGAGCCTTTGTCTTTTAGTAGATATGCGCTCGCGATGCTTGTCAACGGTACAGGGCTCCTCGTCGGCACGTCTATCGCAACACTCATAGATATAACCCTCTGGGAACTCCTCGAGAGCCTCCCCATTATCATAATCACCATTATCATATTGGTCATCGTCCACAAAAAATTCTCCATCGGGGTGGCAGTAATCTGTGGTATAACTTTTAGCCTTCAACAGCACCAAAAAGACAAAAAAAAGAAAAAGAAAAGAAAAAAGGCTAAAAGACTAGTACTAACCTGGATGAAATTTACAACTGGTATTTGTATTTTGCGTGACGTCAAACTCCTTGTCACAGTTCTCGCAATAGGCATAACGTTGTCGAAGTCGCTTGGAGCCTGAAAATTTCTGGTTCAACCTTCTTTCCTTGGACCGTGAATTTTCCTCTGATTCCGCATCCTCCTCGTTCCCACTCTCCTCTCCATCACTTCCTTCATCCTCACTTGCAATTATAGGGACTTGGTCTTCGGTAATGAGAAGTGATTTCGAGACGCGGTCCCTGGTAGATTGATCACCTCGACACATGACCTTTAGAACTGCCTGGAGTGTATCACGCGACGCTGAGTCGATAGCGTTCAGAAGCAGTTCGAATTGTTCGTCTTGGGGAGGCATTTCCTTAATTGAAAGAGCCATTTTGTCAAACGTGGGAATTTAGAATGCAGTTGGTGGTTTCTTTCACTGGCTCAATCCTTATAGGGTTGATTGTTATTTGTCCGCGCGACGCGACGCGACAAGAGAATTTACCGCTGGACTGAAAACCTCGTTAGTTGAAACCCTCTTGCAACACGTTATAAGCAATCCGTCCTACTAAATTGCTTATATCGAGGGAGCGCCCATATCAAATGCTCCGTGTCAACAATACTTTAACATTTCAAATCTTGCATATGGAAATAATATCGTTTGTTTGTAGTGTACCTTTAGTTTGGTCCATAAAGATGACTAACAAAATCAAGGTAAACTCGCAGTGGAGATTGGGCAATTTAGTAAATGAGTATTGATGAAAACGTAAACCTCTACGGCTCATCCCAATGGACTGAAATAGAGATAGCCTCGTGTTTGTAGTGAATAATAGGAGTCTGTGGGGAGAAATGAGTTTGTATACAATAGACACAAAGGTATGCACCCGATGGGAGTTCATCGAGAGCTCAGAATTGCTATTCATGACACAGGACTACACCGGTATAAGTAGAAACCTGACTGAAACTCCTCTCAATCCTGTGAGCAGCAGGAGGGAAATGCTACAACTTATATTCTTTGATCCCGCTCTCGTGTTATATGCACGAAGAGGTCACGTACTATCAAAGGCAGATCTGACAGGCCTGGTTTTACTGTTCTCTACTCACTAGGCCAGAATAGAGTACTAAAGTGGAACTCGGTTGAACTATCCCTTGCTAATATAATGAGTTACGTTCAGAAAGCACAGCACACGTATTGGAAAGATGAGAAGGAAGGGTGACTATCTGGAGATGGCAATGACTTGAGATGTTCAACCGTAAGCATAGAGAAGGAATGTAGCGAGAAATGGGTACTCTTATATACGGCAAAAAAGCTAGGGTAAAAGGAATTTCTTGTACAGGAAGCAACATTGTGTGTCACCTAATCCGACCTGCTAAGAAGTGGAAGGAGATAGGTAAGCTAAACTTGAAGCCTAGTTCCAATAGCATCAGTCAAACGATTGTATAACCTTTCCAGATTTACGCATGGCGCCCGACTCAGCCTGCTCAAAACCTCTTTGCTAGCTTGTATAAATGAGGCATAATGGGTGACCGCAATCCTTCGATGCCATTGGATTGCAACGTGCATCGGACCGGCGACGGGGCGAGCCTTTTTCACTTTAGATTTAATTAGGGCAGTATAGAACATCCATACATGAATAGTATTATACCAAGGTTTTAGTTAGCAATTGATATTACCGGGAACCTCGGCTTAACCCCATTTACTGCAATTTCGTTGGAAGCAAGCTGGCTTGATAAATAGAGTATATCGAGGGATCCCGTGTGCTGGGTTTCCCGGATCAACTTTCTTTAATTGATAAATGTAGTATAGATGAATAATACTATATAATATATTCATTGAATCTCTCTGTCTTTGGGTTCTACGGTAGTTTTTGCGTTGGAATTCAATCCAGACGAACTATTTCAGCGGGTTTTGTATCCCGTTCGTTGAGAACCGCTATCGTGGCCAGTTTGGATGCTATACTGTATAGCATTGATTAAGGAATAGGCTAAGCCCCCTGGTTCTCTTTAAGTGGAGAGATTCTAGGTAATATCGAACTTTCAACACTAGGAATCCAGACCATCACGGATAGGGAAGGTGTTCAACCTCGGCCACCACTCACACCACGATCCCCATTGCGGCGCAGTCATTCTACATGACTCGCCAACGTCTCAGCCTCGTCCGAACAGGGGTCGCCAACAGGCAGCCACGGGTTCTAAATAGACGGGATCAACGCACTTCCCCGAACGCCATAAACCCAGAATCCTATTTACCTAGGGAATATCTCTTCAAAATCCCCTCAAGCCTACTGCCCGCACTTCCCCAGGAATCCGACCCAGATGGCTCCGAAAGCACAGAGACAGCCTTTACAAAAGGCGACCTTGGGGAAAAAAGCTCAGGTTAATGCAAAAGATACACGCGAAACATTGGATGAAGGTGTCCTTGCTAGAATCTATAAATGTCTAAGAAAAGCTCGCCATGAGACTACTACGGAGTTGGAAGCTAAAGCTGCCCTTTTCCTCGCGCAGAAGCTAATGGCCCAGTACAATGTCTCCCAAGCCGATCTACTAGCCAATAGTGATGATGAAAACAAAGCACAATATGCAGGGAGGAGCGTGGTGCTGATCACCAACGTTAAGGACCGTACAGCACGAGTCGTCAAGGAGACTTTCGTGGGCAAGTTGGCACGTGCTATGTGTACGTTTTTTGACTGTCAATACTTTTCAATAAATTACAAAACAAGTATTGCTTTTTCCTTTTTTGGTATCGCGGAAAATACCGTCACGGCAGCAGAAGCCTTTGAGATGGCGCACAACAAGATCCTGGACTGGGCATGCTCATATAAGGGTGGTTCGGCCACGTTCAGCTACCGCATTGGGGTCGCTGATGGGCTCGTTGCCATGGCCAACCGGGAGAAAAGGATTGAACTCGAGATGACAAGGAAGAAAGAGCTAGATATGATTGCCGCCAAAGAACGGGAAGAGGCCATGGAACGTGAGCGTGAACTTCAAAGGCTCCGTGACCTACCTTCGTCGACGGTAGACTATACTGAATCAGAGGACGAGTCACAGGATGAAGGACTTGGCTTCCCAGACATGAACGGCATGCCTAATGAGTCCTTCAATCCTCTAGATTCATTCGATCATCGCGACATGAATAGCAAAGAGGGGATGGCAGACTTTGACGAAAATGACGAGAATGTTATCGATCTCACAGGGGATGTGGATGACAACATCAACAAAATTATTAAAAGAGAGCCTAACGAAACTGGTGTCTCTAATAGTATCCCAATGACTTCGGTAAAGCAGGAACCATTGAACGAGAACCATCCGTCTGTTAAGGACGAGGTCACATCGAGCTCTCCTTGGGCGTCCGAGACACAGTTAGTACGGTTTCGCGCCACATCAGTGCAAGTTGCGGACGATTACCTCAAGAAGCGCAACATCAAGTTGCGTAATGCGAAGGCACGTCGCGTACTCCCCCGAGACCCCTCTGCCTATCGAGAGGGATGGAAAGACAGTCAAAAGATTGACTTTCGTCAGCGAAGGTTGGAATGAGCGAAACAAACACTTAATCTGCCGCTCAGTACATGCCGCAAAGCTGTCCATTCTATTAAGCTTTCGATCAATTTATTCCTTGTCCAGACCCTCATTTCTAGTTGTATGCCCTCTCTGCATCCTTTGTGGCGCTAAGTGTTTGAAATAGTCCTTGCAATGGCCTTTTAATAAGCCACTGAGAACTAACAAGACCACGTATGTTCCCAGGGGTTGTGTCCTACTTATCGTAGAATGAGCGGCTATAAACATAAGACCATCGAACAATCATGAGCATCCAGTAGGATAACGATAGCCAGTTTGGATAACCTGCTGATGATACCCGTCTGAAATTTGTCGTGGCCATCAGCTAAAGTTATCCTAACTAAGATAGGGAACTGGTCACTATGTGCTTGGATGAGGTCCTGGTGTAGCATGGTTCTTAACAATATGGAATCCCTGCCTTGTCTAATGGAACAACAAGAAGACTATGCTACGAGATTAACATTTTTCAAAGCTTTATCTAATCTGTATGTGACTTGATAAGTGGCTTAAACAGGAACGTAATATGTAATCAATCATATAATAGCTGATGCTGATCATACTGTATGAGTACACTGGTGATGGTATTGTGTTGTTGAGGGAAAGGTCTTCAGTCAGAGGATTCGTATGCTTGATATGTTGCATATGGCATATATTGTTCTATGTATGTATGACAGAGAAAGCTAGCAGGGAAATGGGAAATCCGTATATCTTCCAGGAAATCAACGGTATACATTAGGTCAGCGCCCCTATCGATTAAAATATACAAAGTCTAGGTAACGTATCTCTAGCGAAGAAGGCACCATAACAGGATATAATTATTCTGAGTGACATATCCTCGAGACCGTGGTATTTAACAGGCCTAGATATTGAAGCATACTCTATCCAGCCAAATCTGAGATCATATAGTATAAATAAATAGCACATATTCTACTACTGTTGGTTTGTAGGGCACATTCTAATGTCTTTGATTGGGTTATATACAAAGGTCCACCTTTAACCTGCAAGCTCGATAAAGGCAGTGCCCATTTTGCGGGCAGTAAATGGTATAAAGAAATGAAATGCAGCCCGTTATATCTAGCCAACCGTTCCCGAAAACCCATGATCAACCGGAATACAGGCACCATTGATAAGCCTCCTCCCTTTGCCGCATGTCATGGAGACACACACTTCTGCAACCTCATCTAAGTCACATAGGGGCGACTGCAGGGCCCCCATAATGCCCACTACTTTCTCCTTTCCCTCTTCATTGACGCCTGCCATAAATGCCTCGGTGATATTGGTAGCCATACCGCCCATCATCAACGCATTGCACCGAATACCCTTGTTTCCGTAGAATGCGGCTGTATTCTTGGTTAAACCAACCAGTCCATGCTTACTTGCGGTATATGCGGCACCTAAGCATTCGTTAGCGTTATAAGAAGAGTAGCAATAGGGCGAAGGTTAGATACCAGCTGTCCAACCAGCTTTGCCCGCCAACGACACAATATTCATGATATAACCATCTGGGTTCGGCTGCTCAAGCATATTACGAACAGCCAATCTGCTTAGCAGAAAAGGTGCCGTTAGATTGACAGCCATGACGCGATCCCACAATTCCTCATCCAAATCCCCAACCGGGTCAAAACGGTCCATGATCCCAGCATTGTTGATCAGAATGTCTAGTTTTCCAAACTCGGAAACGATTGTGTCAAAAAGGGCCTGCACTGCTGCAGCGCAGGTAATATCGGCATTCACTGCTTTCAATGGGCCTTTTACAGAAAGTTCCGCGGAGGCCTGTTGAAGTCGATCGTCATTGATGTCACAGATCACCACGTTGGCTCCGGCCTCAAGGAATTTTGTTGCAATAGCTTTGCCCAGCCCGCCGGCTCCGCCAGTGACAAGGCAAGTCTTTCCGGATAAGGTAGCCATATTGATGTGAAATAGGTGAAATAGAAGTCACTGTGCACTCATCACACCGGAAACCACCAATGGATGGGACCTCCTTCTTTTATATCACTGAGCCCCTATACGACATTCGTATTCGGATACGAGATTCATCAATGGGGCATACTTTCATTAATCTTAAAAGTTATTTTATTTTGCCGAAAATAGGCCACCCGAGCCGTGCCGTGCAGCCATTCCCCTGGCGTGTATGTGGACCATACTTTTATAACAGTCTTCAGTGAGGGCCGTTGGTTGGCCAATTGCAACGGTGTGGGGAGCCCCGGCTGTCGTATTTGCGTATTCAGTCCGCAGGTATATTGATTCCTAAGGCAGAGACCCGGGGATTCCCTCAACCCTATATCCGGAACCTCGTCCGTTGAAACGAGAACCAGTTAATGCCGCCTATGAAAGAGTTATTCAACTGGGAGGCAAAAGGATTGTCTAAAAAGGCTTCTTGAATGTCGAAAAGATGAGTTAATGGTTCACCTGCGACAAATGGCAATCACCTTTTTGCCCTTGCCAATATTCCATTGTTCTTGGTCCGTTATTCCGTTAATCCCTTTGTCAAGATCTGAGGGAATTTGTATGGGCTTGTCTATATTAACACCTTCATCTTCCTATAGTAGATTCTAGATCTTTACGGAATCATCTTTCCATCTGTCTCGCTCCTTGGGCAGTCTATTATATACAAAACCCAATTAGCTACGTCATCAACTTTTCTTTCTCTACTTCCTCTCTAGAGACAGCCATCGAGACGCAACTCTTGCATAATATTACATCTCGAAAGACTAAGTATATATGTGAGATGTCAGACCTTCCATTCCATACCACAAGCTAAAGGAGGTTCAAACCTGCCGCATAAATGTACATATGTTCGATGTGCCTCCTATCACACCTCATTCTATCCACCATGATCTCCTTCCAGTATTTTCCTCATGTCTTTTATCGAGGTTGGGGGGATGAGCATGACCATGGAAAGTGAGCTGTGGCCATTCTTCGTGTTCCACAGTCGCCCCGGCGTACTGGAGGGTCACCCAGGAATATACATAGTGGACAGGGGGGTTGGCAACATTAGGTCGCTGACTAATTTATCGGTAGTTTTAGACAGTTTTTGATAGTTACTAGTAGTTTAAACAAAATAAAAATCAGTTCTACAATTATATAATAGTTATTATATTATTCTTTAACTATTAGTTATAATATTAAATTTTGTATAGATTTTATATAGAAATCTATAAATATAGAAATATAATATAATAGTTAATATATATTTAAAAAATATTTTTAAAATAGTTATAAAATAGAATTAAAATTTTTATAAATAATTATAAAATATATAATAAACAGTATAATATTATAGCTATAAAATT